AGCACCTTCAAGATGCTTTTCGTTATTACAATATCTAACTGGTAAGGAGTTACTAAAAACTCTCCAACCCCATCACTAACGGGTAGTCCAATGCTTTTTAACCTTATCAGCTTTCGTGCCTCCCGCATACCACAGTTTTGCACTTCTATGAAAGTTGGATCGGTATTTCTTCGCATGAAAGTGATTGAGGAGTTCGAAGTTCATTCGTAGATATCCGAAACTTGATATGGACTGAATTGCTGGTATCTTGTTGTCCAAAGAACGGTTGAGGAATTGGTGATGATGACAATGCTGCTACTTGTCCTTCGCTCCATTTTCTTCAGTTTCATGTGTAAGCACTTTTTTCCTACAAATCAGTGAAATCACTTTTGATATGGTCACCACCGGCTGAAGGACGTGGTCAGCTCATTGAAGAGTTCGTGCGGAATAGAAACCGTGAGCACAGGAATGTAGTTTAGTGGAGGTGTCCAGTGTTTGGCTACCTTCGGCGCAATTAGTCTCACTCTTATCCAACATCACAACCATCCTTGCCTTTGGTAAATTGAGGAACCAGACGTTGAAAACAGTTCAGCATAAAACCCCAAGGATACCGAGGTATGAACGCCACCCTGGGTCTCAGCATAGTTTTGAACCAGCGATTACCTTTACCGAAGGCTCAACCGCTATTCTCCACCACGGCCCATGCTTTTGAGGTACGAAAGCCTTTTAAGGCCTCCAATTTTGTTCACATCTCAGTGTCCTAACTGTTGTATTTTACAGCGTGACGCTCCATGAAGACAGAATAGGCAGTAAATAGAAGCTAAAATTTACGCATGAGATTTAAACAGTTGCGCAAGCATTTTAGTTTAACTGTAATAAGATTTATCTTAAACAATAATATGTTTTCTTGTGCAGAAGTCTAGTAACGATTATCTTATTTATTAATCGCTAAGGTGGAGTGTAGCATAGAGATGAGAGGCGCCCAGCAATACATATGTGATCCATACCGCGCCCGTCGCTCACCAAACCTTCCATCCCTCAGGAGTCGATGAATTGGTACCAGACTTGTCTGGGAGGATGACAGCACTGGCTCAATACATCGGTAGGCCACCTCTAATCACTGTATGGGAAATATGCATTCAATCACCTCTAGCGATCCTTACTGAAGTTGAATGAATAACGCATCCCTAGAGATTGATTGATTAAGCTTTATCCTTCACGCTTTTTTACTTACCGCTAAGTCTAAAATTATCGTTCACTGCTAGTGTCTGTTTGTGCTAGACTGCGGCGTGACACCATAAGACCTCGCTTGACAACTTAAATGTAGTAATCGCTTCTGAAGTGATATGATGATACTGATAAGGAAGATAATGATGAATTGAGCAGCGCAACAACTTGATTGATTACAAGAATTGATACGATCACGTATAAATCGTCTTTCATACACTTGACACACATACAAAATGCGACTCGATAACAATCGTTGATGGTCGTTTCGCTTTAAGCAAATTTGCAGTAACCTAGCCGACGACACTCCAGTAAATAGAGCGATCTATTCGTTTATATACGGTAGAAAACGGTAGCGCCGTCCATGTTGTGCGTGCCAATTACCTTCTTGTTTTACTTTTATTTATAGCCAATGATTACTCCATTACAGGGCATAAAGTGAGGTACATCTACAAGGATACCGAAATATGACCAAAGCTCGTAACAGATGTGATTCGAACCGTCGACTACCCTTTCCAAGGTTGACATGTTACCGACTTCACCAACAGAGGTCTTGCTTTGTCTTTCTCTCAGCTTGGTTGGTACGGTGAATAATGCGTCAGCCATAGAAAGGGTAGGGGTTTTTTTAATCACGGGTTCAAAGCGCATCTCTGGTTCCTCGTTCTGCTCATATCTCCGCATCGTTGTGGTTGTATATCACCGTCCTCCACCTTCTACTGCTTCTGATCTACGAATCTGCCCCGATACTTGCCGTGCTTCCCGTTTGTTGGCGATGTTATTCTGGCATCGATGCTGGCGACGTAAATATTTCCATTCTTGTGATCATCATCGTCTTCACCACCTTCACCATATGATGATGTTTGACCACAGTCACATTCCGGCGACATAATCGTTCTTCTCAGCTCCCCTTTTTGCTATTTGGTAAATAGCCAACTACGACGACGATGATGGTGACGGTGGGGTAAGACGATTTGTGATGAATTGACCTTATCGACTCCACCCCATTTTCATTCCATCGCCGTGTCATCACTCCCAGCGCTCAGTTCACCAACACCGGCATTCTTTTGTTAACTGGTTTCCTTTCGTTTTCGCTATTGCCAAGCCCAAAAACCAATAGGCCCTCTAATTTCGTGTAAAGTGATCATTTATTAGCGCTTTCCGTGTAGTTTTCTTTTTTCTGCCCTGCTAATCTTGCAGTATTAAAGTTGGAAATCCCGTTTATGTTAAAGCAAATCATATACTTCATGTAAACTACTAGAGAAAAGTTAGAAATGTGCGAAAAATTGCACGCTTTCTGAGTTGTCCAGAGTATTCATTATCGCCATTTTTCGTTTCAAAAATAGGAAAGGACAAGTTTATCTACAGATAAGTAATGTTTGGACAAAGGCACCTGGCAGTAAAGGCGTCGTTGATCCCTCATGAGATCATTTACATAAACGTATTAACTTCGTCACTGTATCCATCTGGTTTTCCTGTTATCTCCAGAAACACTTAAAAAGGATAAAGCTCTCGGCGTTGATGAATTCTGAGGGATGTGCCACGCATTAGACCTCATTAAGCATCGTCGGAGGTGGATGAATGCATACCTGACCTTTACAATGAGTCGCGATGGCCTATCGATGTATCGAGCTAGTGCTGTTATCCTCCTAACAAGTCTGGTACAAATTTGCCGACCTCGGAGGGATAGACGGCTTAGTGAGCTGCTGGCGCGGGGAACGATCCTACGTGTGTGTTGCAGAGCGCCTCCGACCACTGTGCCATGTATCCCAGAAATACTTATGTGGAAATAATTTTAGCTTTACCTAGTAATTGTTTGTTACCGCAAAAATTTTAAAATAATGGGTTGAACAGGGAAACATGTGCATTCAGCTTTTTCACTTTCCTCTCTTTTGTCGCTTTCTCCGCTTTGTATTCTTCTCGCTACTTTACTGATTGCTTAACGTTTTCGACACATTCGGCGAAATTCACATCTTCTTTCACTCACAAATCGTTGAGTTAGAGTTTTCTCTGGATAATAGACATTCTTATTGACTGCCTCCTCTTCCAACCCCAGTCCAGTCCCTTACCCACCACCCCCCTTGGTTTTTGAATTCGCTGCATTCGATATTTTTCAGTTTATCTGAATAACTCATCATGCGGTCCGCTTGTTCGATTTGGCGGTAGAATCAATCCACGTAGAACTTCCACCCATTCAAGTATCTTCAATGACAAGCATCCAATTTTTTCTGTGTACTCCGGAGCACTCCGCTCCACTCCGAGCAATCAGGTTCTGAAACAAGAAGGAAATATCGAAACGTTAGCCGTATACACCGTTTTATCAACCTCTTGTTAGCTTAGTAATCCTAGAAGGAATTTATCATCCAATCATCCATGTAATGACAATGCCGACAATGTTTTTCTTTTTGGTGATCAAATAGCCACGAAAGTTTCTCCAGTCAGCTCTGAAAGATTGGTATTCTTCGAAAACTGTCATGCTTTCCCAAAATTCATGTTATTCACTACTATCAAATAAGCCTAGATGTTTGAGTGCAAGCTCATACGTTTTGCAAAGACATAGACACAATAACGAATGTTTGCTTGTGTATATGAAGATGTATATTTGAATTAAAGCAAAGTATTGTAATTGTTAACCCAATCCAATGGAGATAGCAAGCCCATTCCCTGAAGTCATTAGCGTCTTAAGTAAAGTTCAAGGTCACACTTGGACCCTATTTAATCTCAGCTCTGCCACCTAGGTCCACGTAACCTTGCAAGCATCCCACTAGAAGTTCTTCAGATTAGAGTAATCAGTGTGAGCCAACTTCAAAGAGGTTTGAACACCGTGAAAGATGGCACTGTCCTGCACAAATTGTCGATAACCACATAGTCATAAAGACTAGTAGTGTGAGGTAAGTGAGAAAAGAATAAAGTTTGAAAATCATTGTCATGGAATATGTAATGAGGAACCCCTATTGAAAGCGCTCAATCAGTTTCCATTGCTTTTATCCGAATATAATTTGGTTCTGGTGTATTACCATTCCACATTAAACTCATGATATCTGCCATATCCTATGCACTGGTGCAGAAACGGGTATTACTTGTTGGATCGATTTAGACCGCTTGGGGAATATTCTCCTGTTCATCTTGAAGCAACCAGGTTTGTCAATGGTTAGCATCATTCCTTCAAGGATTCTCAAATTCCTGATTTCGATTATTTATTTCATTACTGTTATCACCATTATTTCGTCTAATTATCATAGTTGTTTTTGTTTCGCTCTCACAATGCAATTTGTTTGGAGAATCAGCGCAATAAGAGCCACCATGGGTAGTGTTTCATATCCATTAAAGGTGCTGAGGTGCCCTGAAATACACATATAGTCCATGGTTGGATCACTCACAACCAAGCCTTACACCTCTCCACGGTTAGCAAATTGATACCAGACTTCCTGGTTACACTCCGGGTTAAAAACACTGGTTTTTTTCCATAACTCACTATAGGTGAGTCTCTGGTTCAAATATGCATTAGGTTACCCTCTATGATTTTACGAAAGGAGTTGCAAGTATAGCTCATCCCGAGTGGGCTCTACAACGCTGGGCAGAACCGATTTCGTTCGCTTTTGTAATTTATGTCATTGTAAATATAACTCGCTCTGCGCTTCGGAATTCCATTTCGTTTGCAACATCTCTTACCTGCTGAACTGTTTTTAATAATAAGGCATTACACTGTAATACATATCTTTACATGATTTGTCGGTCTTCATTGTTCCTACCATTAACGGCTTAGCGTTCCATCGTGGCTGGGAGTACCCAGTACGATGGCTGAAACTGGGAAGGAGTTCCACATTTCTATTCTGAAATCCAACCAAGATTGTGCGGCTGAATCGGGTCAACTATATCTGGCTACCCTGTCACCGAAAACTCTAGGTAAATAGACACCATGAAATCAAAACTGTGACGACCATTGTGCCAGTAAAGTGCACTGAATGCCTATTGCAAAGACGGATGGAGTTCACTGATGTTTGGACATCATGTTTGAAAACCAACGAGACCTCAGATGAAAGGCAATGCTAGCAAAAACCCTAAAACTTACTACGATTGGTAGTACCGAAAATGGTCACCGTTCAAAAAAAAACTTCCAAATCGTTCCTGAAATGAAGCGTCAATATCGTTTCAGTCATTGTTCTTAGGCTCCCTGGCGCTTCTTAATCTCTTCTCGAGTCCAATGCTTTCTCGGATTATTACGCTAAAACGAGGTTGTTATATGAGATCTGTTATCTGTTAGCTTAATAACATCCTATATCTCACACTCTTCTTATAACTTTAGAATATCTCTTTGCAATAACAATTATATTACTGAGTTTTTCTTCGGTCGTTTTCCATAAAATACGACAAAAGAGTGTGTACACCTTAATCGTCAGCAGTCAATATTGAGTTGAAATGTTCATTGATAGAATGGCTTTTGTGTTCTCTATCAGTATTGTTGGTTTTTCACTACTGATCGTATTGCGTAATAATCCAGTTAAATGTTACTGTCTTCGCTGTACTCTGCAGTAAGAAGTGCTGACAAGTATTCTGGAACGGAAAACTACAATAGGAAACGAAATGGACTTGATCCTATTTCTGATTCTCCTTTCTTTTCTTTACCTTTTCCTCCGTCTTCTCCGCCATCTTGCCGTAATTTCCCTCTTGTTTTGTCTATATATCTGCCGATAAGCTTCTCTAGTAACACTCTGGTTTCATCACGAATAGGGGAGATGATGGGAAAGAACGGGAAACACAGCTCTCAAGGAATTCATTGTTTTCTCCTTTCTTTCTGAATACTTATCTGTTCGTCTCTGTCGAGTATAACTCAGTACTATTTCCCATCTTAATACTAATGATGCAAGTATCAGCCAGATTTAGTGGAAACATATTTACTCATGTCTAAGTCGATCGGCTTTTATGACAGGCTACTGATATCGTGACGCGACTGACAGCAACGTCACAGTGCTCACTGAATTTTGCTAAAAGGTCCGATTTCCCGTCATCATAAATGTTTTCGAGGACTGTGACCTTCTTAAGCTAACATGTTTACGCACTTAATTGACATCTAAACATCCTCTACTAAAAATTGTATAGGCTGTAAGACCTCTAAGACAATAATTTCCTTCTCCATGAAAAAGCTCTTGTTACATACTTGTATTTCAGTCCATTTTCTCGTTCAGTAGCAACTTACTTTGCCTTAACGAAAAAACATTTCGAAATATCTGCTTAACTCTGAATCATATGGGATTCTATGGTGCCTATCATTGAGTTTTCTATCTCTATAAGGCGCGTGTGAATCCCATCCCCCGTGGCTCACCAAGCCTTCCATTCCTTCGGGCTCGGTAAATTGGTACCAGACTTGTGTGGGAGGATAGCAGCACGGGCTCGATGCATCGGTACGCCACTGCGAGTCATTGTAAAGGCCAGATAAGTACCTCCAAACATTACTTAATAACTTAAAAGACCGATTTTCTATAAACCTCGGCATAGATAGTTGATATATTTATTTATATGACCTTATAAACTGATCTTCTCCAGCTGATGCGAGGTTGATATAGGTCTTCGCTGTCGTTGTTATTGTTGTTGTAGCTGATGTTCTCGTTGGTCGATGGCCGACGTTTCGGCGATTTCGCCTTTCTAAGACTCTAGGACTCCCCCTCGTAACATCATGGCTCTGATGAAGGCGAAATCGCCGAAACGTCAGCCATCGACTAACATGAACAACAGCAACAACAACAACAACGACAACGAAGACTATACCAACCTCTCATCAGCTAAAGAAGATCAGTTTATAAGATTATATAAATAAGTGCTTAATGAAGTCGAATTCATGGCGCATCCCTCAGGGATTGATCAACACCGAGAGCTTTATCTTTTTATCCATACCTCTATGTGTGGGCCACCTATGTAGTGAGAACAATCCAGCGTTTAATCCATTGAAAAGCGTACACACGCTATCGAATCATCTCGCTGCAAACGGGGTGGTAAGATTCTGAAGTGGCAAAGACATCTACACAAGATAGTACATCTATCACTAATACTGAGTTCGACCATCTTTCATTGTGTTATACTCGCCACTACTTTGTCTTCACGTTTTTTTGAGTGCTTATCAGATGTCTTTTGCATTTAAACTAAAGTCTCAGTGCACGTTTTTTATCTAAAGGCAGCACAAAGTGGTAGAAAATGTAGCAAATGGAAGCGAAAGGGTAGAAAAAAAAAATCAGAGTCACTAAAAAGTGTACAAAACAAGTCTGACAAGGCTTATCTCTTTCTTAGGAATTTTATCTACGACCAATCAATACGCTGTTAGCTTCATTTATAATTTGAACTAAATGTTTCACTATAAACTATTCACAAAAGCTTCAGCGTAACAGTCTTAAGATAATCAATCGCCACTTTTTGTGTGCTCTTGTAAAAATTCATACTTTTGCGGAGTATCGATCTATTCTGTTGATCCAAAAAAGCAGTGCCCTTGGTATTTCGAAAAAATTTTCACGACATTGTTCCGATTATAGGACGATGAATTCTTCATACTTTCGCTTTCTCTTAGATTCTTTTCTGTTTTTCATTCTTTTCATCGCTTTCTGCTCTGTCGCCATCTATATCGATGAAGTTGATTTCAACCAATCACTATCATTATCATCATCACCATCATCATCATCATCCACACCAGCTCGTTAGTGATTCAACAACCTGTTTCGATTTCAACTGACGCCGTTGGCCGATAGATCGTGAAATATTGCACGTTTTATTTTTAGTGACCGATTGCCTAAGAGTTTAAACCTAGTCCCATTTCGTAAAAAATTTTCTTTCGAACTCAAATAGTAGCTGAACCTCTTCTTCGATTCAAACTGATATTTATAAGGAGTGCCTGATGAAGCGTATTATTATTGTAACGTGATTAACGTATTACAACATATTATTAACTTATTACTTGTAATGTTTTTGAATCGTGTTCCTATTTTTTTCCGTTTTTCATATTTCCTGCTTCAATAATTCCCATTTCTGCTTCGTTCATTTTCATTTTCTTTCCCTTATCTTTTTCTTTCCTTTTTCATTTTCACAACTTTTTCCATTTTTCTTCAACATTATCAACAGACACGGATCATCTTGAGCTGAATAAGATTTCTAGACGCCCTTGCATAGAATCTTATTTACCCAACGTTCATAATAAACTGAAACCCTTACAAAAAAATATCTTCGAAGCAACTATTATTTTGCAAAGGATATTATTTAAAGAAGAAGCTCTGCTCACATAACATACAATGCCCGAACTTCTTTTCTTCTTTTTTGTCTTTGTTTCGTCTCATTCATTTCGCTCATTATCTTATAGCGAAATCGATCGAATCGATAATCTTCCAGTATTCATGCAAAAATTGCTTTCATCACATGAAATAGCTTTGCATAGAAGTTGAACAGTGTAAAATATAGTAATTGATTGATTGGTGTCCGACAGATCAATGGGCGGTGTTGATTCGATCGAGTTCGGAAACGCGACTTGCTTATCAGTCGTCGTCGTGTCGTTGATTAATTCGCAAGAAACGAAAAACCACGTCTGAATGTTCTCTGTGAAACGCAACAGAGGGACAAAGATGGAGAAAAAGATCGAGAGGGAGGGAAATAGAGAGGAAGGAAGAGGGAAAGACAGAAGGAAAAGGAGGAAATCTCATACAACTGAATTCCAATCAGTTTTAGATTCGTATCGTGCATAGTAAAATGATATGGTTATAGCATGATCATGCAATCACAACAGCTAGTATATCCACTATACAGTAAGTCCTTCAGTTGCAGAAGAAATCATTTTCAAGTACATTATATTTAAAGAACAATGAATGGTAAAGAAGAACAAGTAAAACATGAAGAGGAGAAAAAATGAAATGAGAAAGAAATAGTTCGTTTTATGAAGCCTAATCGACTCACGATAGTTCCATAATAAAATCTGATTATCTATTTAGTGGACTTTTATTAACACGTTAAATAACTACTGTGTCCATTTTTCCATAGAAATAAATGTTTCAACAAGTCTTTTATTTTATTTTTTTATTTTAATTCCCCCTCCCAATGGTTTACCGCCTCATTGTGGCTGGGAGGTGTTGCTGGGTGTCGGTCTGCTATGTACAGCGGGGATTCATCCTCTTGCAGGGTCTCCCAAGCTGAGGAGTCCGGCGTTTCCACTAAAAAACCCAGCTGAGAGTAAACCAGTACTAAGATTCCCCAACGTCCTACTATCAAACTAGTCGCATGGTGGCAAACCTCCCTCTGATCCACAAGGGATGCAACTGCTTGGTGGTGGTGAAGACCTGGATCAGACTTTAACCAGGCTGACCTTGGGATTCCAGGAAACCACAATGGCTTAACCTGCAAATCTCCGAAAAACGGAGATTTTGCTGGGGCCTGCACAACTAGTGAGGGCGGGCCATTAAAGTATCAAGTAGTATTTTAATTCGCACGACCGTCTTTCTATTAACATCGGCATTGATCGGATACTGTGATGCTACCGAATCGTCAGCTTTAGCGAAATAAGGAGTAAAGTAGGAACTCATGTTTGCTCAACAAGAATATCGAGAATATTTTTTTTATTTTATTGCTCCGTCTTCATGTCTACTGTGTGGATCACAACACTTCTCAGATTCATTTCGTTTGCTGGTATCCATCGTCCACGAAGATCTTCTAACTTTTCGTGTGGCTTCGGTTGCTGCTTGAGGATTTTCATTTCATCTTGAATGTCGTGGAATGTTGGTCGATCAATCCAGAGTTAGCTGGGCTGGAGCGTTCCCAATTGGACTGCACGGAGTGATTTTTTCCCAGACAAGTCCGGTACCAATTGCTCGACTCCAGAGGGATAAGATGCTTGGTTGACCCAGAGCGGAATCGGTGTAGCACCATGCTCGTGATGACGGACATCACTACTACTGTGCTATCCCCCGCATATTTTACCATAGAACTAAATGTTTCAGTAAGATTAAAAGAAAATATTGATCAAGTTGTTTCATTAAAGGAACGATCGAATAGGAAGCGTAAAAGCCAACCACTAGCAGAGTTGCTATGAAAACGTGTTCAAATTTCGATGATGATTCCATCCATCAATGAAGTCATAGTCATAAATACGTGTTATATCGAGCGCCTCGACGACGTACTAAAGATGATAAGCAAAATTTTCGCTGATCAATAAGTCAATCAACGTCGGTCGTGAAGGAAAATTTAATCGAATAATCAACAAATGCGCCATATTTGCCCTTTAATTTATTGCCTACTATATTTCACGGCATAGTATTGTAAGAAATGCAAGCACAATGATACTGAGATATTGCAAAACTGGCACCCCAGGCCAGATTCGAACCAGAGACTATCCTTTCCGGAGGTTCATGGATTACTCACTGCACCAGCGAAGCTCTTGCTTTGCTTTTCTCTCAGCTAAGTTTTTTTACCCTAACGCAAGGGCCTCACTAATGTGAATGTTTATAGTAAAAGGAACAAGGATGAACCTCTTCGCGTTGACCAATGCCTTAGGGATGTACCATACATTCGAATCAAATTGGCATCGTTAAAGATGACCAAATGCATTTCTGACCTCAAGTCAGTGCTCCTATTCCCGTAGACAGGTCTGGTACCGATTCGCCAACCACGGAGGGATGGAAGGCCCGGTGAGCCTTTGACGCAGCATCGAAACCATGTGTATTGCACAGCGCCTTTAACCACTGTGCTAAATGCACTCGGAATATAGCATATATTCAAACAGACATATATACGTACAACATTTGCCAAAAAAGATCGAGTCCACTGTGATCGATATAAAACCTCATGGGGATTTTCTGTCGACATTACAAAAAGAACGCGAAAAAGGAAAAACGGACGATAAAGTGAAGAAGCTCGTAGCTTCTCCTTTCTAAAGTTTTCTTCATTATTTCTAATACACAACACATCGAATCTCATAAAAGAGCAAATTATTCACTTAGAATTCGATCCGACATAGGATTTGTTTTGCGTAACTTTTTCTCAAAAGGAACCATATCAACTACAAACGAAGAACATGTATAAACACATTTGAAATCAACAGAAATCGATTATTTATTGCAAAAAAACAAAGCTATTAAATATTGGTGGTATCGTCCGCTTTCTCTTGATATGAAAATGACGGAAAGAACGTCCGTCCACTAGTCTTCCTTTTTATTTAATTTATTCTAAATAGATAACTATTCGACTTTGATGTCCTCGCTGCATCATTTCAGTTGTATTTCTTCTTCATCAGAATATTGTCGCTTCACCATTAAGAGGATGCGAGAAGAACAGCACGAGTGAGTTCAGTCTGACTAGTTTGCATCTATTACTATTTCTACTATTATCAATGCTACTATTCTTGTTACTAGAAATGCCTCATTGTTTTGTCATCTGATCACAGCCGAATGTTGTTCATGAGTGTCGAACTGCAACGTATTGCAGTGGCTCACCCTTCACCAGAGTCATCCAAGCCGAGAAGTGCGATATTTCCATGCAAAAGCCAAGCTAATAATATATCATCAGTATCAGGAATCACTACTATACTGGTACCAATCTGCTCGCAATCCTCCAAAGCATAACAGTCGACCGGCCTAAGAACGTCGCAGCGCGGCAATCTCGAGACTCCAGAACGGAAGTTTTGTGCAACTGGCAACATACCCATTAAACGTGTAATAATCCCTTGCACGCATGATTTGCCGTGAAGACTGTTCATATAAGTATGCAAGCAAATATTACATTGCTTAGATAAAGAACAAAAGATAAAGCTCTCTGCATTGATCAATCCCTAAGGGATGCGCCATGCTTTCGACTTCATTAAGTATCTTTCGAGGTGATTGAATGCATATCTGGCCTATACAATGACTCACGATGACTTACCGATGTATCGAGCCAGTGATGCTATCATCCCAGACAAGTCTGGTACCAATTTCCCAACCCCAGAGAGATGGAAGGCTTGGTGAGCGTGGGGCGCGATGGATCCGAATATGAATTACGATCTCTCAATATTTCAGGGTGTTTTCAAGTGTTCAAAGTGTCGTTATCCACGCTTCAAGAAGAGGACTTAAGCAAGACACTGAAACCGGTGAAAAAATACGGTAACAACGTGTTCGCGCCACGTGGTAATTCACCTCGATTAACTGAAAAAGTCATCGAAAGTATGCCAGCAAATGCCGATCCTCGAGTAAAAGTAAATGTTTTTTGTTATTCTTTTACTCGAAAATTTTTCATTTCAGTTTTTTCAAACTCCTTTTTTTCCGAAAAAAAACCCATCATTCATCCAAACACCAAACAGCACAACAAGTAGGTGTGAAAAAAAGAATAGAAAATTCGGATGTTGTTAGATACTTTTAATAGCACTATCTAAGAACGAAGTAATTGATTTTAATAGTACCAGGAACGATTAGCAGTTAATACGTTCCTTTCCTCATCTATCAAAGTATTTTAATACCGTCGTACAAACCCGACTCACCCAGGATTGTTTAAATATAACAACAACGATGCCGAGATATTTGCAAAACTCCGGACCGCAGGTGTCTGCGTTGGGGAACGTACGCGCTATTACTCTTTCCGGGTGCTAACGCGCTCACCATCTCACCATACGGATCTTTCGCTTCGCCTGTCTCTCAGCTAGTTCTATCGATAAGTGCCATCAGCAATCACCCATCAACGGGATTGCTCTGGGAACTCCAAATCGACAATGAACCTAATTCAGCTGAGAGCATAGTCGAAATCACAATGTTAACTTTTTGTTTGCTGCGTACTACAATTTTTTGCGGCAGAGTATTATGTGAAATACAACCGTTACACCAATACAACCAATCCCATTAATGGGTGATCGTTGAAGGTACTGGTAAATAGAAAACTAGCTGTGATACAGACGAAACGAAGGACTCGCATGGTATGGTGGTTAAAGTGTTAGTCCCCAGAAAGGGTAGTAGCGCGCCCGTTCCCCACCGAAAACATCTGCGACCCGGAGTTTTGGAATTATCTTAGCATCATTGTGGTTGTATTTCGCATATTACCCTGAAATTGTAATAGGCAGTCAATAAAAAAGTTAACACTATTTAGGTATAGTTTATTTGAAATCTCAATTTTAACTGCAATAAAATGAATGATGCATTTTCTCATGGACTCCTTTTTCAACAATTTTACCCCGATTTATTACAGCCATAGCTTTGCTTTTATTTTTATTTTATTTTTTTATTATAGCTTTGTTTTCTCTCTAAACATCATTTCTTTAGCTCAATTCAATTTCTTCACAATTATTGCTGATTCATTTGTTGTTTCCATCCTTTTGTCTCCAGTTTGAATCGTTTTCTTTTCAGGAAAATATTCTTAACAATAATTATTTTCTAAAGAGAGTTGACGGTGATGACGTGTCGATTTTCAGCGATGATTTACAAGATCTCCTACCGCAAAATGTTCAACACGTTCAAGTGAGTGAATTGTTTTCCGTTCCTGTGCTCACCTATTGTACGATTCTTCTCGTTTCATTGCTATCCATATTTTCCGCTTCATCTCTTCATCTCTCTATCACTCCATTTTCAGACTAAACAATCAGCTTCCTTGGACGAATCAATACCGGTGTATTTGATCATACTTCTAATTGTTGTTGGTATTCTTGTAGGTGTTCTTGGTACTTGTTCAGTACTCGTATTCGTCGACTATAAGAATAATCCAAAATTCGATACGTGAGTTCATCTTAGAACAAGACTTTCTGAGAACTTAAGTTCGTTTTTATTCAACAAATACACAGTGCAACTGTGTACTTCACTTATAGTTTAAAAAGTGTAAAGATTGAAAAAATGAAGTGTAGATGAAGTAGAAAGAAGTACTATAAACTATAAAGTGGAATATAAAAGTGAGATAGCAATAGTACAGATCGAGCTAGAAATAAACAGATTAGGAAACTTTGTCAAGTGTTTTTTCATTTGAGATATCGATAGCTTCTTTTCACTTGTATATAATTTTATAACATAATATTAAAAATAATAACAGGTGATGTAAAGGAAAGGCATGGAAAAGTTGGATATTGTCACACTTAATATAACAGGAAGTGGACTAGAGCATGAAATTAGGAAGTGAATGAAAACAGAAATGAAACAACGAATAAAATTATGAAATTGAGATTGAAGACTGATAAGATTGGAGAAGATAAAGATTATGGAAGAATCACAGGAATCCACATCATTTACTAGTGATCTCATTTGTCCTATTAAATTTATCCTTTATCATTCTTAAACTTCATTCATTAAAATAGCTGTGCTGCAATAATAACTGATAATTTAGTAATAATAATAATAAATATTAATGAATAGGAGTAAACAATAAATAATAACAAATAATAATAATAGAGAGGACTACCACTATTAAAGAGGCTCAAAAATCTGTTAACGATAACAGAGAATAGTAAGTAGTAATAAGCAATGATAAATAATGGAGCGAATAGCACAGTGGCAGTAATGCCGATCGTCAAGGGCACTATGCTGGTCCAATTCTGCTCTGGGTTCACCAACCCTCTCATCCCTCGCGGTTTGGGAGATTGGTACCGGAATTGTCTGGGAAAGAATCACTGTCTGTAGTCTAAATGGGAACGCTCCAACCCGGCTTTCTCAGGACTCCAGTGAGAATCAACTCGAAAATATTCAACGACATTCGCGATGAATGGAAAATCCTCAAGCAGCAGCCGAAGCCACATGCAAAGTTAAAAGATCTTCGTGGACGATAGATACCAGCAAACGAAATGAATGTGAAAAGTATTGGGATCCACACAGTAGGCATGAAGACGAGTGGCATAAAATAAGATTTAGAAAAACAGCAAATCCGACGAACGACTTTCTATTAAACTCGGCATTGATTAAGTAATTCTTCGTATTCTTGTTGAGCAAACGCGAGGTGTTATTTTATTCTTTATTCACGAACAAGCCGACGTTTCGGCGGATTTCGCCTTCCTCAGAACCTGGAAGGGTCAACTTGACAGCAATCCATTCGGCCAAACACCTCCATAACCAAACAGAGAAAACGCTAAACCAAGATTTCAATCACATTTAGCATAGCTCTGCACACTCACCGCTTTCTATGAGTCTTCCACTGAGTATGTCGCGTGAAGACCGACCGCACCAAATTCACATGGAAGCGTAATGTGACCCTCCCATCAGAATAACAGGCTTATGTACTGCCCAATATCACGCGTGATAATGAGGCATTCTTCCCTGTAGTTCATTTTCGGATTTCTGGAATCAATCTAGAACACCTCGAGAGTTTTGCGCGCTTGTGTTCTTGATTCGTGTGCGAGGATGGTGACACATACTTCAAAGTCCTCCCCGTTATGTCTCTGGGTCCTATGCGTGCCTAGCGGGGTATTTGGTTTACGTTTGCTTACTAGGTGTTCTTTTATGCAGACACAAAGCGTTCCACCCGTTTCGCCAATGTATTCGTCTCCGCACGCCTTACAGGAGTTTCTAATAGAGCAGAGAGAGGAGTCTCGGAACTTGGCACGGCAAATAACCATTTCTAATGGCTACGAAACTATAACGCAGCTATAAAACGCTGCTTGAGAAGAGCGGGTCTAGAGAATTCGGTAAACGTGACTGAAATGCCACCGAGTACTCTTAGGCGCCAGCTAGTTCGTTACCGCCTATATGACCGTCTATGTGCAACGCAAAATTGCACAATCTACCCCAATGGTAGAGACGGTGACTGCATAACTTCATGTACAATCTATCTGATCTCTTGTAAAGCGTGAGGGGGACGAATACGTTGGCGAAACAGGTGGAACGCTTTGTGTCCGCATAAAAGAACACGTAGTCGGCAAACCTTAACCAAATACCCCACTAGGCACGCATAGAACCCAGAAGCATAACGGGGAGGACTTTGAAGCACGTGTCACGATCCTTGCACAAGAATCGAGAACACAAGCGCGCAATACTCTCGAGGCGTTCTGGATTAATTCCAGAAGTCCGAAAATGAACTGCAGGGAAGAAAGCCTCATTATCACGCGTGATATTGGGCAGTATATAAGCCTGTTATTCTGATGGGAGTGCACATTACGCTTCCATGTGAATTCTGTGAGGTTGGTCTCCATGCGGCATACTCAGTGGAGGACTCATGGAAAGCGGTGAGTGTGCAGAGCTATGCTAAATGTGATTGAAATCTTGGTTTAGCGTTTTCTCTGTTTGATTATGGAGGTGTTTGGCCGTGTAGATTGTAGTCAGCTTGACCTTTCCAGGCTCTGAGGAAGGCAAAATCCGCCGAAACGTCAGCTTATTCGTGAATAAAGAATAAAATAACAAAAAAATATAAAATAAAAAAATAAACGACGACAACGTCGTGTGTTTTTATTATATTATATAAAATAATAAGTATAATAATAATAATAATAATAAATAAAAAATAAACGACGACGACGACAAAAAAAGATAAAATTAATAATAATAATAATAATAATGATAAATATTGTTCATTCTAGTTCGGGTGTGGTGACATATACACGTCGTAGAAATTTCGATAAGCTCTATATGGACGGAAAACACTGCGAACGATCCGAACGACAAAAACGACAAGCTGGTCAGTTCTCAATTAGAGAAAATCGTCGTTTGAACACAGAAAGTTCTACAACCAAGATCAGTTAATAGTAAAAATCCATGGTCTGGTTGTATTAAGAACAAAAAATCTTGCTAACTAGCAGCAACATCCTTTGGCTTTCTCCATTAAAACGAGACATTAGTGTGGTGCAGCGGTTATAGGTGGCCTGCATTGCAAAAGCGGTCTTTGGTTCAACCGCGCGCTCTGGAAAATTAAAATTAATTAATCTTTCCGTAATTAAACTCATCAGACTTGTTTGGAAATCTACGATACAGCGAATGGAAATGAATTCAAGACGCATTCTTAAGGCATCGACCTACGTCGAGCACTTTCTTTCTTTCATCTTTAGCAAAAAAGCAAATTGGATTCGGTTAGAGTCAACTAGTGATATCGCACAAGACGATCCGTCATAAACAGCTAAATCTCCCAGATTAGTTAGTGGCATCAACGTCACTTACACCGAATTCGTCACTAAGAAGGAAAACTAATCGACACTTCCAATAATTTTCTACTTACCATAAAAAAGTCGAAGAATGTAAAGGAGATCTTCATAAGCTCATGAAGTGGATGATAAACACTAGTTATATAAATATCGATCACAAAATAATCGATCGCAAAAATGGCTCATTAGGAAGATACGAAAGTGAAAATTGAATAAGATTTGCAGAAAAATCGTCTACAAAGACCTTTTTCAGCGTTCACAAACGAAAGAGAACTGAACAAACTCTTAGAATAGACAAGCGTTCTGAGTCATTACAGTGATATCTGAAGACAAAGTCTCAGGGAACCATTTTCACCTACAAAAAAACAGCAACAGACCATAAAATGTTAACCATCAGCTTCACACAAATGCATTACCATGTTCTTGTGCAGTTTCTGAAATTACTGAGTCACTAAAAGTTCGTGTAGCCCCTGTATTGAATAAAGAGAGTAGAAATCATAGTGTTTTCCATGCTCCAATTTCCCTTTCTTTGTCTACATAAAGTGAACGTTGGAGCACGCATTGATGGGATTCACTATCCTTTTGGCTAATCCATATGAAAAGATCTACATAAATTAGATAATTTTCTTAATGTCTACTTTTTATATGCTGCCTATAACAATTTCTCACGGCAGGTTGTTATGCGAAAGACACCCACAACGATGTTGAGATATTTGCAAAACTCCTGACCGTAGGTGTCTGCGGTGGGGAACGAACATGCTGTTACCCTTTCCGGGAACTAACGTGCTCACCACCACATTATATGGGCCCTTCGTTTCGCCTGTCTCTCAGCTCAGCGCATCAACTTTTGCAAATAATTTTCCTAACTAGGTTACTTTCAATTCTTACTGTATCACTATCTACATTAATTTTACATTCATTCAGCCTTATCACGAACTCCATTGCCGGTTCCGGGTCGAGCATCACGAGCAAGTCGTGAAAGCGAATTGATACGATCATCTAGAGAAGTCACGGAGAATCTACGAACGGAACGTAAAAACTGAACTCGAGGAGTAGACAGATATGTGAAGTGCCGTGAGGCTTCATTTACCTAGTCCGATCCTCATTTTCTTCACACGGATGGTCATTTTCGGGGCTTTTATTTGTACAAATCAAAATGCAGAATTGCCAATTCGGTTTCTATAACTGATAAACGCCGATTTTAAAAAAATGGTAGAGCGCCAATGGCGCCCTAAGTGCCGCCCATCTGCTTGCTATTGGTCTCCAGTTCCCAACGTTTGGTTCTGATTGGTGAAATAAACATGGTAGCAATCAACAACTGATGACTACTATCAACAGCTATCAGGAAGGACGTAAATACTTTTGCAGATGTTAAATGACATATAGGTGACTGTCATTGGTTCAGCTGACAACAGCTAATGAATCTCACTGATTACACCAACTATTCAACTTTTACTGATTAACCTCCATTCTGTACAATGCAGCGCGTTTTGGATATTGATGTTCAGTAGAAATCCCGGTCATTCCATTCATATCACAGCCAAAAAAACGGATATTCCTTTAGAAATACGGCCTATGACTACTTTTTATTGATGACCTAGTCAATCAATTTGTTGTAAATACATTGAAGATTCATGTACAGTTCTATTTCTCCATTCTTCTATGATATCCCATCTAATGTTGCCATAGAAATTGTTTTTCTTCCAACCTGTTTTTTCAATGAATAAGTGTAACAAGTTCACTTCGGATGAGTTGATTATATAAAATATTTGAACAGCTATTGTTCCACTCCCAAGGAATACAATTTGCAAAAGATCCAGGTTCGGTGAACTCTCCTAGTAACTCTTATGCCAACTAATGCAAACCATTATTTTATCAATATTTAAAAAATGGATAAAATTCATACTGTTACTACATTGGAGACAAGACGGCTTTTGAGCAACCTAATCAATTTACTTTTGACCTGTTTTATCCTGCCTTATGACTACTATATGACTCATCACTCCATAGTTCTTTATATTTTCCCATTTATAAAAGAACACCACTAAAGTCTCATGAAAAGAAACCCAACTGACCGAATTACACTGCACTACTGATTACTCACCGTTCACGATACTAAAGACCATAAATAATTTAAAACGTCATTGATATTCTTACAAACCATTCGCAGAGTTACGAAATAATTGATTGGCTCAAGGCCGGACTCAGGCTAGCTAAAATCATTTATTTTAGCAACGCCTGATGCTTCCTCCCAATTCAAAAGACGTTATTTTTCGAATATAAAAAAGAATACAGAAAAGGCTGGTTTAGCTAGTTCCAATTCAGGTGTTATAGTGAACCTCACAAATAAACGGTTGAAAAAATTGGTTCACAGTCTTAAGACCACTGCGACAAAGCTCTTCTTCCCGACCATTCGAAGGATTTGTGAGTTTGAGGTGATATATTCTATATTACTACTGGATGAACCTGTTTAAAATCTCTGCTGTGCACGTTAGTTCGACGAAATCAATACAATAGGTAGATTGCTGAGAAAGTAAATACCATAAAAACCGTACCTAACTCGATCTGTGAAACATACTTACTTACTTGATACTTGAACGGCTCGCCCTCACTAGTTGTGCGAGCCCCAACACAATCACCATTTTTCGCAGATTTGCTGGCTAAATCACTGCGGTTCCCTGGAATCCCGAGGACAGCCTGCC